AATTAATTTTTTTATTAAATGAAACTAATCAACAAAAATTATGTAAGAAAAAAAATTTAATTATTATTTATATACATTGTTAAATTTAAAAAAAAAAATCAAATTCAAAAAGTTCAATAAGAGAAACTAAAGTTGAATGGAGAAGATAATTCATTAATTTTATTGATGACTTATTCACCCATTTAGCTTGATCGAAGGAATGATTGAATTCCCGTGCCAAAAAAGAAGAAGTGTTGAAATAAGGGGAGATGAGGAGACGGAGAAGGAAGGATTGAAATCCCATTCACAATCTTGCATTGGTAGATTACTAAAATCCCCATTGTTTTTTTTTTCATCTTCACCCATTTAGCTTGATCGAAGAAGGAAGGACTATTGAATTCCCGCACTAGCAAATGAGTGTTTTTGGGCCAGAGACTAGGAGAAGCAGGGACCGAAAGAAGCTACATTTTCCTTTTTTTTTTAATAATAATAATTTAATGTAGAAATCATGTCAACTGCTTACATTAAATTATACAAAATGATGAGACAAAATAGTTGTCCTCATATCATTTCCTAGTAATCAGGCATGTGTAAGGGCAAGTCCGAGGTGCTCAACCTCGGATGTACGGCAGTAATTCTTTTACAACCGAAGTAAGGAATAAATCCAGAGCTTCCCGCTCGAACAGCAGCATAGCAGTTACGATGGACATCCTCACATCAAATCCCGAATATCTTGCTTGGCTCAATCTCCGGGTCCCAAAATAACTGCTTGGAGATACGCATCAAATCACGAAATAACTGCCTGGAGATACACATCAGATCCCGAATATTTTGCTTGGCATGCCGCGTGGTTTCTTCATGGGAACATATAAATACCCCTCAAGGGCCGCGCCAAAAGGTAATTGAAACCAACCCTAAGCTCCTTGTTTCTCCGCTCTAAAGGTAGGCCCGATTATTACTAACTTAAGCATCGGAGTGTCTACCCTGAGGATCCACCTCGGGGCTTTGCAGGTCAATCCAGGGTGCAGATACGGACTGAAGAAGGACTTCTGGTTTGGTGCAGTTACATTTTGGCGCCGTCTATGGGAATTCGCACTGAAAGCTCCCTTGTTGCTCTTATCATGGTTAAAACTAGGTCAGTCCGAGGTGGAAATTCATCTCAGCCTCTTGGACGAGGTCAGATCCCCAGCAACTTTCCCCCTCATCCCCCACCCCCAATTCCGAATACACTCCCGCATGTTGACCATGAAGAAGGAGGAGATGAAAATCAGCCACACAATTCGGCTCACCACTCAGCCTTTACTGCTAACCAAGACGTAGTCGCAACTCAGCTCGCTACCATGCAACAACAGTTTGGTGTCTTTCAGCTAGTGCTGGCTCAGCTATTAGCCCGGAACAATCCTGGCGATCCACTCATCAACCTACTTAATCCTGTTCCACAACCCTCGCTCCACAACAAAATCCTGAGCCAGTTCAGCATGCTTCTGCTGTTAGTGAATCTCAAGGCCAATCTCACATCGCACCAGTTCAACAACCCCTCCATGATAATGTCACTCGACGTCTAGACAGCTTAGAAAAGCTAGTGGCCGAACAGCGAGGTGCCCCACCCCCACATCATGCTGCTAACTCTATACCCCATCCCCTGAACACCAACATTACATTGGAACCCTACCCCGCTGGCTTCAGGATACCACAACTCGAAACGTATGATGGGACGAAGGACCCCGATGATCATCTCCATGCTTTCTACTCTTGCATGCAAGCCCAGAACGCCTCTGATGCGTTGATGTGCAAAATCTTTCCCTCCACTCTCCGAGGTAATGCACGAACCTGGTACTACAATCTACCTCCGAGGTCAATCAGCTCTTATACAAAAATGGCATCTGTTTTTGCCACCAAGTTTTCCAGTAGAAGGTTGATCAGGAAAACTACTTCCGAGCTAATGTGAGTTAGGCAGAGAGACGGAGAGTCTTTGAAGACTTTTATGAGTAGATTTAATGATGCAGTATTAGAGGTTAATTCCTTCGACCAGGCTGTGGGAATTACAGCCGTAATCTCAGGTCTCAGCCATGAGAGATTCAGGGATAGCCTGCTTAAACATCCGGCCACTACCTTCAGCGAGGTAAATGATAGATCACTGAAATTCAACACTGCTGAGGAATATGCCCTGTCGCAGAACCTAGCCCCTATTAAGAACCAGCACCCGGACTGGAGGGATGAGAATCCGAACCGAAAGCGGTTGAAGACAACACAGAACCGAGGTCCGATGCCGACTTCCACTCCGAGGTTCGGAAGGCCGAATTCAGCACCTCCGCAACAACCTGCAGGTAAACCTCCTGTTACTTGGACTCCATTTAACTTGCCGAGGTCGCAGATCTTTATGCAGATTAAGAACAAGATGGATCTAAGGCGTCCTGGTCCGATGAAAACTGCCCCTGCTAGCCGAGATCATACTAAATATTGTGATTTCCATCAAGATCACGGTCATACAACAGAGCAATGCAACAGTTTGAGGTCCGAACTGGAAAGTCTTGCCCAGAAGGGATTGTTAAATGAGTACATTCAGAGAACTGAACAGCCAAGGTTTGTCAGAGAATAGGGGCCACAGTATCAAGGAGTCCGCAATCCCCCAAATCGGCAAGGCGTGGGATATCAGCAAGCCCCACCCTCGCTCCCACCACCAGCTAGGATCATACACATGATCACGGGAGGCCTAGAAGCCGGTGGTCTGAGTTCTAAGCAGCGAAAGTTGTATGTCAGAGAGGTTAAGCATCAGAACCGAGCTCAGAAGCGAAAGTTTGATGATGCTGAGTGGAAGAATCAGCCCATCACTTTCACATCTGCTGATCTCGAAACAGTTATCACACCTCACAATGACCCTCTAGTCACTTCTGTCAGGATCAACAATTGTGAGGTGCAGCGTGTCCTTGTTGACACCGGAAGCGCATCAGACATCATGTATTTCCACTGTTTTGAGAGTCTTGGACTAGACTCGGCATTATTGCAGAGGTATGATGGTCCCATCTATGGTTTCAATAACCAGCCAGTTCCAGTTGAAGGTGTCCTAACCATGAATGTTGCATTTGGGAGCGGCCGAACCTATGTGACTCCTTCTGTCCGGTTTCTAGTGGTTAAGATGGCGTCCTCCTTCAATGTTGTTATTGGCCGACCCACGCTGACTGAAATCCGAGCCGTGGTTTCCCAGTCTCACCTCTGCATGAAGTTCCCCACTCCCATGGGAATAGCAACACTGCGAGGAAACCAAGAGGTGGCCAGACATTGCTATATCACTTCCGTAACACAACCTAAGAAAGGCAAAGACCAGATACCTGAAGCCGTTCCCCAATAGATTTCTGACAATCAGCAAGTCATGGGAGTTGAGATCATAGATAATCGCCCAGAAGATGAAACCAGAGCTGCCCCAGTTGAAGATGTTGAAGAGGTGCAGATTGATGACAGAGATCCGAGCCGAACAACGCAAATTAGAACTAAGTTGAACCCAGAGGAACGAGCAGAGCTAATAGCTTTCCTCCGGGCCAACAAAGATGTTTTTGCATGGACTTCAACAGATATGCCGGAAATTCCCACTTCGGTTTCTCAACATAAACTCAGCACCAATCCACTCAAGAAACCAGTGGCTCAAAAGCGGCGCCTCTTCGGAGGGGAGAGGTTAAATGTTATTAAAGAAGAAGTCGAGAAGCTCCTACAAGCCGGTTTTGTCAGACGGGTAGATTACTGTGAGTGGGTCGCCAATCCGGTGCTGGTGAAAAAAGCAAACGGTAAATGGCGAATGTGCATCGATTACACTAACCTCAACGATGCATGTCTAAAGGACTGTTACCCAATGCCAAACATTGATAAGCTGGTTGAGGCAGCTTTGGGAAATGAGAGATTGAGTCTCTTGGATGCATATTCAGGATATCACCAAGTGCCAATGGCTCCAGAAGACGAAGAGAAAACTTCGTCCTATGCCGGCGATGAAATCTATTGCTACGTGATGATGCCCTTCGGCTTGAAGAACGCGGGCGCCACTTACCAGAAGATGGTTACCATCGTATTCCGAGCTCAAATAGGCAGGAATCTGGAAGTTTATATTGATGACATAGTGGTGAAGAGTTTGAAGGCTGAAAATCACTTGACCGACCTCGAGGAAACATTTAACAACCTCAGAAAGAATAGAATGAGATTAAATCCGGCAAAATGTATTTTCGGTGTGGAGTCGGGAAAGTTTCTAGACTTCATGGTGTCCAGAAGGGGGATTGAGGTCAACCCTGAGAAGATCAAAGAAGTGGCCGAGATGGAACCACCGAAGTCAGTGAAAGATGTACAGAGGTTGACGGGGAGAGTAGCAGCCCTTCATAGATTCATTTCGAAATCCGCAGACAAGTGCCTGCCGTTCTTTAAGATTATGAGATTGGCAGCTCAGAAGGATGAATCTGGCAAACAAAAGAAGTTTACATGGAATTCAGAATGTCAAGATGCATTCGACGAGCTAAAGTCTTATCTTAGCTCGCCTCCTTTGCTGACAAAGGCTGAGGATGGAGAAATCCTTTACTTGTACCTCGACATATCAAATGAGGCTATCAATTCTGTGTTAGCAAGGGAAGAGGGAAAGCAACAGAAGCCAGTGTACTACATCAGTAGCGTGTTGCATGGAGCTGAAGTCAGATATTCCATTGTTGAGAAAGCAGCCTTAGCAGTTGTCACTTCGGCCAGGAAATTGAGACCGTATTTCCAATCACACCCAATCATAGTCCTCACAGACCAGCCCCTTAGACAAATTTTGCAGAAGCCAGAATGTTTGGGGAGATTGATCAAATGGGCAGTTGAACTAGGAGAATTCGAGATCACATTTCAGCAGAGGTCAGCAATCCGAGCTCAGGCTCTCGCTGACTTCATAGTGGAATGCACCTCGGCTCACTCTGATTCCCCGTCCGAGGTGGACAGCTGGATTCTGTATGTTGATGGCACATCAAGTAACAAAGGTTCTGGCGCTGGTGCAATCCTACTTGGCCCAGATGGGTACCGAAGTGAACACGCTTTAAAATTTAATTTTGACGCCACCAACAATATGGCCGAATACGAAGCTCTGCTGCTCGGCTTACAGCTGGCGACAGAATTGAAGGTTGCAGTGATACAAATATACAGTGATTCACAGCTAGTAGTCAATCAGGTTAACTCAGTCTGTGAAGTGGTTGATCCTATTATGACGAAGTATGCAACTCTGGTGGCCGAACTGAAATCCAAATTCCAGAAATTCCATTTAAGCAAAATACCTCGAGCTGAAAATGAGCAAGTAGACTCTCTCTCCAAGTTTGCTTCCGATGGCAACCAAAGCTCCAGGTCGGTCTTTGTAGAAATTCTGGACGAGCCTATCTTCTTGAAACCACAAATGATGGAGGTCAGCACAGATCCTAGCTCATCAAGCTGGACAGATCCAATCATCTCGTTTCTGCGAGATGGCACAGTGCCCGCGGATAAACAAGAAGAGATGAGGTTGAGGAAGAAGGCATCTCGGTACACCCTTGTTAATGATGTTCTCTACAAGAGATCTTTCTCACTCCCTCTGCTCCGCTGCCTCACCCCTTACGAGGCTGAATACGCACTTCGGGAGGTGCATGAAGGCGTCTGCGGAAGTCACGTAGGTGCTTGAACTTTGGCCCATAAAGTCCTTAGACAAGGTTATTATTGGCCCAACATGTATAAGGATGCCATCCAGTTTGTACAGAGGTGTCAGAAGTGTCAGTTCGTTGCACATCTAATTCACCAGCCTGCAGAAGAGCTCACTACGTTGGTGGCACCTTGGCCATTCACTCAATGGGGTCTTGACCTTTTAGGCCCATTTATGAAGGGGGTACGAGGTGTAACCCACCTCATTGTTGGTGTAGATTATTTCACAAAATGGGTTGAAGTTCGGGCATTATCCAGTCTCACCTCCAAGAAGGTCGAAGACTTTGTTTTCAACTCAATCATCTGCAGATATGGGATCCCGAATCAGATTGTGGCTGATAATGGAACTCAATTTAACTGCACCTCTTTTCGAGATTTCTGTTCCAGCTACGGGATTAAACTGCAGTTCACCTCGGTTTATCATCCAGAGTCCAACGGCATGGTCGAATCTGTTAACAAATGCATTTTAGAAGGTATAAAGCCAAGATTGGAACAGCACAAGGCCAAATGGGCAGACGAGCTCAACAACGTCCTCTGAGCATACAGAACCACGAGTCGAACTGCCACAGGTATCGTTTCAAACCTGGTCTATTTGATTCATTTTTACATTGCTTTACTTCTTCTGCTACGGCTTTACCTTAGAGCAAATATATATAACGTGTAAAGCGCATCCTAAAGTTATAATTAATTGAAATAGGTGAAACACCCTATCATCTGGCCTTTGGTACCGAAGCAGTCATTCCTATCGAGATAGGAGTTCCAAGCTTCAGAGTCACCCATTTCGATGAAGGACGAAATGGACAACTGCTTCAGGAGAACCTTGATCTGCTTGATGACGTTAGAGAAGAAGCACGACTTCGAACTCTAGTCTACAAGTAGAAAATAGCAAACTTCTACAACAAACGAGTTCGACCCCGAACATTCAAAGTAGGAGACCTTGTCCTCAGGAAAGCTGGTCTAATGGGGTTCGAAACTCGATTCGGCAAGTTGGCACCAAACTGGGAAGGCCCCTACACTGTTGCCGAAGTGCCGCACCAAGGTGCCTATATCCTACGGGACACTGAAGGCAACCGGGTTCCCAGAGTCTGGAATGTCAATAATTTGAAGAAATTTTACCCTTAATGCATCTCTTTCTAGTAAACTTTGTCTCATTTTTATATTTGTTGTTATTCTATTTGCTCGATGTGTGTCTGAACTCAATTCATTTATCTCAATAATGGGTGTCACTTCACATTTGAAGTGATTCAGTTCTTTCTACCCTTCTATGTGTTGGAAGTGGGGTTCAATTATTTTTGAAGTTAGCTCATTATGACTTATCCCTTAGGATAACGATTTGGTTAATCAGTTACATTTTACTTTTGAAGTGCTTTACTTCATCATTTCTCATTTGTCTACTTGCGGTCCGTCTCATGCCTATCCAGAGCCAATTCCCTTGACTGTTCATTTTATGATGTCCGAAGTCAGATCCTTGCGTTGGATAAAGACAACTCGTTTCACCCCAAGTGATTTGCTTGAAACAGAAAACAGCAAACAAATATTAAAATGTGCAAGTCACAAATAACTTCACAAATTTTATAAATTCATAAACAATCAATTACAAAAATATTTTTACAACAAATAAAGCAAAAACTCCTAAGCTAAATCTGCTGAGGGAGGAGGCTGCTCCTCAGCGGGAAGAGGTGGTGGAGGTGGCTCGTCTCCAGAAGGAAGGGGTGGCACTTCTGCTTCAGGAGGAGCCAGCTGCTGCACCTCGTCAGAGGAGACTGGATGCACTTCGGGAGGCTGCACTTCGGTCATTGCGGCCTGATTCTCAACTCCAGCGCCTTGCGCTCCTTCTTCTTCTTCTCCTTCTTCCTCCATGGCCACCAACTCAGCGTCGAAGGATGGAGGAAAAATGGTGCGCCCCTCTGCATCACGCTCCCACCTTAGAGTAATCTGAGGCCGGAAGTCAGCACAGAGACTCTCACCATCCTCCTCCACTCCTTCCTCTTGTTCCCCAAAGGTGACCGTTGTCACGTCCACCTCTAGGTACTGGGTCTTCACCTTCTTCCTACAGTCGGTGAAGGCCAGGATTGCCGTTGGAAGCCAGTACAGCTTGAGGATGCCCTCGAAGGTGCTGGAGTTGAGGAAGTTGTCAATATGCTCCTCCATCCCGTTGTGCACCAGCAGGCTCACGTTCTTCTTCAGCTCCGCCGCTCCTTTCCTCATATTGTCAATGTATTTGTCTTGAGCTTCGAGCTTCTCCCCACAGATCTTCCTTTTGCGTTCCTCAAGGGTAAGCTTCGTGCTCAAGACATCATTGTCGTTCTGGAGCTCGGCCACTGAAGGAAGCACTTCGTCCAGCCTCCTCTGCATCTCCCTTTTCTCCTTCTCCCACTCCTCTTTCCCCTTCTGTAGCTCTTCCCTCTCCTGCTGCAACTGCTCGCACTGCCTCTGCAAGCTGGCACAGTCTCTCAAGCTCTCCGCGTACTCCTGCGCCAGAGCGTTTGTCCAGCTTGCACTCTGCAACGTTAGCAGAAGCCAGACTTCAAACACAGGAGTAAAAATAAAACAAGACTAACTCACAGCTCCCTTACATACCTCCAGGGCATGCCTCACCACAGTAGCTCCTAACCGGCTCACCGCCTCATCCCTCGCCCGCCACCTATCCACCTCAAGGAGAGTGCGGTTGAGGAAGTGCTTCGCCCCAATCGTGTTTGCCGCCTCAAACAGACTCTTCTCGTGCAAATGAGGAGGGATGAGCTCCTTGCCCCTGCCAGGGCCTCGCACCTCGACCTCTTCCCTCTCCCTGACTTCAGGATTGATTTCAGGAGCAGAGGGGCGAGGCACGAACTCAGTCACCTCATTCCCCCTCGCCTCTGGTTCTGCCACCTTCCTCTTCTTTCTCTGAAGTGGTGCTACCTCCTCACTCACCTCCTCACTATTCCCCCTTGCAGGCTCTAGCCTCTGCTGTATCTCCAGCACTCGAGCAGAAGTGCTTGGCAGGCGCTCTTTCTTTGGCACCCCTCTGTTCGCCGCAGCTGAAGTCGTTGACTTCTTCCTTGGCTTCTTTGGGATGCGCAGTCCTCCAACAGCACTTACAAAATCGTCCATCTCAACTGCAGAGCAAAAACAAGTGTTAAAACACAATAACTGGGAAATCAATTAAGCTGCAAAAGGTAACAACATACACAAACCTTCGCTCAATGAGCTCGGCCCATAGAGCTCAGCAACCTCTATTGCATTCGGGCTGGTGAGGTACAGGATATCTACTACGTCTCCTTCTTCCCTCACCAGCTTTCCTACCTCTTCCACCTCATCCTCGTTCAACTTATAGTTGTCTTGCTTGGTTTTCTTTGCTTTCCAAGCAGACAACTGTTCCACTTCGGCATCCCTCCTGCTCCACTCGGTGTCATCCACAAAGAAGAATTTTTCTTTCCATCCTTTGATGGATGACGGTCCAGCAGAGAATAAACTCCTATTTTCTTTGCTGGACGACCGAGGGCCGAAGTAATACCACCCCTTCTCCCCCTTACCCCCAGCCTTTATTATAAAAAAATGTTTGAACATATTCACCGTAGGAACCCCAATCCCCCGAGCTCTGCAGTATACAAGAAAGCCTATAATAATTACCCTTATGGCATTTGGGGTCAATTGGGTTATTCCTATGTTGTAATCTAATAATAGCCCAACCAGTAATTCTGGAATGGGAAATCTAAGCCCTGCAACTAAATAATGGACGTATAGGGGCATCCAATGGTCTCGGGGTGCTGAGCATGCCCTCTCATTCACCCCAGCAGGCCTAATTAGGACATGGTGAGGAAGGTTGCAATTACCCACAAGGCCCCTAAGACTCTCCTTACTACCTAATTCGCTCACATACCCCCTCACCTCAGACACTATCTCTAAATCTGGATCATAACACCCGTCTATGCCATTCCCAGCCTCTAAAATGTTTGAGGGGATTTCATCCTCCTCCTCTTCTACTACCCTTTGCTCCCTTCTATCCTCCACCGTCCTCTCCGAGCTAGTTGGAGACGGACTGGTCTCCGAATCCATGCCACCATACTCCAAGGGCATTACCTCACTTCCCACTAGACTCATGGCCTCTTCTGAAGACATCTCAATTTCTGCATACAGGGGGAGGAGGAACGAAGTCAGGACCCTTAACAATTCTAGCACACTCAATACATTCTCACTCCCAACCCTAATTTCCTTCAAAAAAACCCAAAATCAACAACAGAAGGGGAGAAAGGAGAACAGCACTTGGACAGAACCGAAATCAAAAATTCATAAACATTACCTGATTTTGGTCTTGAAAACTGTTGTTGAAGTCTTAATCGAAGCGCAAACCGCACGAAACCGCAGAAATTTAGTGGAAATTTAGCAAGAATTTAGTAGCAAAATCATGAGAGTAAAAACCCCCTTTACAGAAGTCTAGCCTTTTATACCAAAGGCAAAATACGCCTCAAACGGCTGTGATTAACCCCATCTAACGGCTGCAGAGACATCGTTTCGAATTCAGCGGTTAACCCCAAACGGTACCGTTTTAAACACGACGGTTCGCTTTTTACATCTGCCCGTTGGGCTGTTACATTTATCTTTTTACAGCGGCATTTATTACGCACGTCATTCAGGGCACAGCTGTCGCGTCACGTACTGCCTCTATGTCAGACTTCTCAGACGGGCCCACTTAAGCCCATTTCAACACATTAGCTCACTTTTACACATTCTTGATTTTTGCAAGTGTTTTACTTCGGCTACGGCCACAGTGACCTTGTGTCACATGTTTTACTTCGACTCTGGCCATAGTGACCTAGTGTCACATGTTTTACTTCGGCTCCGGCCATAGTGACCCTATGTCACATGTTTTACTTCGGCTCCGGCCATAGTGACCCTGTGTCACATGTTTTACTTCGGCTATGGCCACAGTGACCCTGTGTCACATGTTTTACTTCGGCTCCGGCCATAGTGACCCTGTGTCACATGTTTTACTTCGGCT